ATAAAAGATTTTTTAAAGGTATGTATTCCAAACAAATGCATTTTATAATAACAAATATATTTAAATTTTATACATGTATTTGTATATAATAAATGTGAACAAGTATTTCATTATATTTTTTCTTGAATATTTAAGACACAATTTAAGATGCGTGGACTTTTACGTGGTACTTTATACTGTGCATTATGGTATGGCAGCATAGTGGCTGGTTTTTTATTTATTGCTTGCCCTATGTTACCACTGTTATTCTTTAGTCCTCCAAAGTTTCGAAAATGCGGTGATCTTTTACTTTCTTGTTGGGAACTTTATTCCGCAGTAAGCAAAATAAATTTTCTCGTTTTTTTGTTACAAAGTTTACAATTTTCTTCTATTTAAGTAATATAATTCTGGTACAAATAAATTAACAATATTTACATGTTTTAGGCTCTTTTAAAAGTATTTGGTGTAAAAATTTTTGTATCAGGAGATCATATATCTCCAAATGAATCTGCTGTTCTTGTAATGAATCATAGAACACGAGTAGATTGGAATTTTTTATGGGCTGCTATGTATCAGGCATGTTTACCCAATGTAGCAACTCATAGATTAAAATTTGTTTTAAAGGATCCTATACGACATATTCCTGGACCAGGTAATATGATAATATCAGTAAAAGAAACTTTAGAGTATATCAAAAATATGAGTTACTTTAATTGTATAAATGGCATGTAACTCCAAAAAATGTTTTTTTTATAAAATTTTGAAGTAAAAGTTATTGAAAAATTAATTACTTCAAAAGCATTTGACATTCAGCCAAGTGTTATATGGAAATATTATAAAAATTAAATTTTCTAACATAAAAAACCACTCATTTTATGAAATAATGTTGAGTATTTCAAAAAATTATTGTATAACAGGGTGGATAATGCAAATGAATGGTTTCCTTTATATAACTCGTCGCTGGGAAGAAGATCAAAGCCGATTGTCACGAACGCTAGATTATTTAGTAGCTCTTGATAGGCGTTCTCAATTACTTATATTTCCTGAGGGTACTGATCTGACAAAAAGTAGCAAGGAAAAATCAGACAAATATGCCTCAAAGCATGTTCTACCACAGTATTCTTTTACTCTTCATCCAAAGACAACAGGTTTTAGTTATTTAGTTCGGCATCTTCAACAAGCAAGTTATCTCGATGCTGTTTATGACTTAACGATTGCTTATCCTGATTATATTCCACAATCTGAGTTAGATTTATTCAAAGGGAAATTACCGAATGAAGTACATTTCCACATTAAGCGAATACCATCGTCGGATATGCCTAAACACGATTTGACATTAAGACGGTGGTTAGAAGAAAGATGGTTTAACAAAGAAGAAGTCTTAAAACAATTTTATCAGAAAAAAACTTTCTCTACTGAAGTTTGGCCATTGACAAGACTGTGTCCTTTACAAATTGCATTTGGTTTTTGGAGCATTTTAACAGGTGAAATTTTATTATACTTATTTTCATTGGTTTTTAGAAATACTTCTGTCAAAAATGTTTATTTCTTTTTTATTTCAGGTGCTGCAGCGCTTTTACTTATTATTTCACCATTATTCCAATTATGGGCATTGATACATTCAATGTTTTTCGTTGCTCTATCATTTTTCACTACTGGTTTCAATCAACTTGAAATGGGATGGTATTGGCGTTGGAAAACGCATTTTCTTAAAAGAAAATGTAGTTAATAATATTTAACACGTTGTTGTTTAATATAAGTAGATTCCAGTATTACATTGTAGTACTTATTAATTTCTATAACACTATTATAAATATACTTGAAATTTATAAAATGTCTAATCATTTTATGTATTTGAAGTATATTGAAACTAATTTAATTTTTGAAAATTAGTAGGAATTTCTAATTTTAACGACTACACATACTAAAAATTTTAAGTGATATAATGACAATTTGGATCAGAATATAGTATATGTGGGAACACTTACTTACAAATAATATATAAATGTGACAGAACAACTTTAAATGAATTAATGTAAAACAAAATAACTTCAATATTGACTGAAAACCATTCTGTGACATTAATGATTCTAGTCTAAAATTAAAAATCAAAAATATTATAGTGTACAAAATGGAAAAAATGATGGAACTGTGAAAGTTATAATGAATTTATTTTAATGCTGTAAAAAAATTAACCCTCTA